GCATAATCGCTTTTCTTCCTCACAATTTCGTAAACAACACCCTCACCGTGAGAAGGCAGTGAGTAGGATTTCCCCGGCAGTGGCTGAATACGCATTGTCGTGTGAGTGAATTTCGAGAGGAAGAGCTGACTCCCCCCCACCCTCAGTCGTACCATAGCATTTGGAGGCATATAAAGGGTGAAGCGAGACACAGCACACAGTATATGTGAGAAAGAGTTATGCATAAGTACGCGGAATGATTCATCTGACTCAGGACTGTCCTCATGAAAATGTTCTAAAAATTGTTACAGTTAGTCAAACCAGGTTTCATGTAGTAATTCAACGAAGACATTCAGATTTGTGATACGTCACCAATTAAATTTAATAGTGGTGAGTCATTGGAATTTAGCTCAGTGATACCTTTCTCATAAAGAAACTGAAAGATTTTTGTTACACCTTTCATAAAATACAGTTCCATTGTAATTTCTTTACAGTGCTACCTCAATACAGTTTGATCATGGAATCCCTGATGAGTACAAATGCTCACTCTGAGTGAACCATTTAGACTAAGTAATTCAAACTAGTAAGAATGTAAAATATACTGCTCATTGAAATCTGTATTGGAAATTACCACCGCTTATAATTTTTCGTGCATGAATTAGTGTCATTCATAAACTTTATTATAAACACGTATGAAGTACAGTGTAATATAGTAGATGGGTTGAAATACAAAAATTTAAACTTTCCAACCCTAATCATCTTAATACATATACTGGAAGACACATCCAATGTTTATTTATAATTTATTATACCACTAGTGACTTCCTTGATTTGATAAGTCAGTTATCAGTCGCTTCTAAAGCTTCAGGGAATCCATCTCGAAGTCAATCATTAATGAGATTTGTGTTACTTACAGAGGTAGTATCTGACTAAAAGCCTTCACATCTTTTAGTAAACAGTACTGTTGGATTTCTGGTCCAAATGCCAGTATTTTCCAAGTTACCTGACACCTAAATGTTATTTAATCAGAAGTTTCTTAAATGAAACTAACTTTTACTGGGTAAAATCACTGAAGACATGATAGTTGTATCATTCTAGTATTACTTTCACTGAGCATACAATGTATTCATGTCCTGGAGGTTTATTTGCTAGCATAATATTATTATGATCAAATGACCCATATTACGAGTGATACTTAAGATGTAATAATTTCTGATAGCCTTTTTTCAATACGGTCAGTTGATTACTGTCTAACTTCAGATTTGGTTGACTTTACAAGTTGTAGTTGTGGATACTACACCAATGTCCTTTTAATTTTTATTTACATACGCCTGTTACTCCCCAAATGGAGCATAGGCGGCTGACCAGCATTCTTCAACCCACCCTGGCTTGGGCCTTCCTTTCTAGTTCCATCCAATTGTTGTTTCTTCTTCTCATGTCTTTCTGCATTTTTCGGCCCAATGTGTTCTTTGGTCTTCTTCTTTTCCTTTGGCCCTGAGGATTACAAGTCAGGGCATGCTTTTTGACACAGTTGGGTGCTTTCCTCAATGTGTGTTCTATCCACTCCCAATGCTTCTTCCTGATTTCCTCCTCCACTGGAATCTGGTTTGTTGGGATCAATGGATCCGAAGTATTTTGTGTAGATAACTGTGAATAAGCATTTGTACCTTCTGGATGATGGCTTTCGTAGTTCTGCAAGTTTCCACCCCATACAGTAGAACTGTCTTCACATCCGTATTGAAAATTCTCACTTTGGTGTTGGTTGACAGTTGTTTTGAGTTCCAGATGTTCATCAGTTGTAAATACGCTGCTCTTGTTTTGCCGATCCGCGCCTTCAAATCTGCATCAGATTCACTGCGTTCATCAATGATGCTGCCCAAATATGTAAAGGTTTCTACATCCTCCAAAGCTTCTCCGTCAAGTGAGGTTTGATTGGTGCATGTTGTGTTGTATCGGACAATCTTGATTTTCTGTTTGTGTATGTTAAGACCTACTACTGTTGCTACACTGGTCGGCTTCTCATGGGTTTGTTGTCCTTGGATTTCCAATATTTAACCAAATGATCTCAGAATGGGGGATTTGTGGAGATTATAGTAACTTGAACAGCTGAATTCATGAATCAATCTAAGCTAGACCCCCATTGAAAATTTGAAACAACCATCCAATACGTTCAAGTTTTCAATAGTAATCTAACTTAGATCAATTCATGAATTCAACTGTTAAATAACATTACTTTATGATAATCATTCGTTATAAACTCAGTAAAAAAAATCACTACAAATCTACATCATTTGATAAGAATTAAGACATACTTCTTCAACTTTTCTCATATTTTGATCACTCTACATAATATGCTAATAACTTTGACAAATTCGGGATAGAAATAATATCAAAGATCGCTTAATGTTTGTAAATAGATGATTCAAAAAAGACTTTTTAGTTAGTTGATAAGATCTATATCCATTAAAATAACTGTCTTTTTGTAGAATAGAAAATTCCACTAAATTTCTAACCGAGTTAAAAATGTTCTCTCTTCTAATTTATTCAAGAATAAATTGTTTGTCTTATTCTTTCTATTGATCAGATTGAACTTATCTGAGATTGGAATGTTATTATAGAAAGGAAATGTTATTATGAATGACTTTCAAATAATATAAACATGCTTTCTTGTTGTTGTTGTTGCTGTTGTTAAAATTTTGATAATCCATTTACTAGCTATGAGATAGCATGGATTACTATGAGAGAGAATAAACCAACTTCGAGATGAGAAGGGAATTAGAAAAAGACATTGGAAGTGGATAGGAAATATATTACAGAAATCATCAAAATGTATCACAAGGCAAGCGCTAACTTGGTATAGTGAAGAAAAACGGAAAAGAGGAAGGCCAAAGAACACATTACGTCGGGAAATAGAAGTAGACATGAAAAGGATGAATAAAAACTGGAAAGGACAGCCCAGAACAGAGTTGGATGAAGAATGCTGGTGGGTGGTCTTTGCTCCTTGATGAGTGTTATTAGGCGTAAGTAAGTAAGATAGCATGTATGTAACAAAGGCAAGAAGTGATCTTAGCTACATTGATGGTTCAATGAATTTGATGATGACTAATCAACCCATTTCCTTGTAGTACTATGTAAAACCAAACATTTCCAGGCATTTTACATTTCCCTCTAATATTTTAAGACAATCTTTGCTAACTTTTACTATATATCTAATGGTATGAATTAGGTTGAACAAGTGTATAAATCACATTTCTATTCTCTAATCAACTATTCGTTCAACTTTATCGTGAAAAGTAGCAAATGAGACTAATATACTCCTGAGCTATGTATGAAGTGATTGATGAGCATTCAAGATTGTCAGCTTTAAACTCGTACACTTCAGGTTCAAACTCCATCCTAAATATATTCCAATATCAGGAGTTGATTAGCAGTTACCCTAATCTTCATATAAGAAATGTAGTTCAGAATTGATTACAAAAACCTATATTGATCAGCTGAAAATCCAATGACTAGTTATAGTGTTTGTAATAACCGATAAATGCTTCATAAATAACTATTGCTCAATTTCTTTACATTCAGTAATATATAATCACGTATGTTTTTGCCTTTTAATGTTGGTTTGTTCGTAACTACTATAATTGAGTTTTGGATATTACACAATTGAATATACATCGAAGTAATGACAGATTTGAAAAATACATTAAGTGTTTTGTAAGCTTCCAAAAGACGAATATAGCAGCTCACGTGCAATTGAGTTTGTTCACATTTGGTTTGATTAAGCCTTTTTGTTAACTTATTTGACGGACAGAGTCATTCGTACAATAACAAGTTATCTATACCATTGTACATGAATTATTGTTGCACTTGTATGAATATGTATGCTTGAGCATTGTTTACTTCCTGCTAGCCTTACTATCAGTCACTTAATAGATAACATAAACATTGGTACAAGAGGACACCAAATATGCGCTACGTAAATTATTCGATTTATGTGAGGGCTGGGATACTGCCCGGGTGCCCAGAACGAAGCAGGTGGTTTCATAAAGGGCCACACTCGGAGCCTTCGATTTAAAGATCTGATCCACAACATAGTGGGGCAACGTCAGAAGATACAGTCACATGGTAGCCGGTGACCAACGATTGGTTCATATGCCATCCGTTCCTTCAGGATCCTGGAGCCCATGTCCACCAATTGTTTGCAATTAGGTTTTTTCAACTCTCCTATGTAGATCCTCTGTATCCATCAGCACCGTTAAAGCAACGCATAATCGCTTTTCTTCCTCACAATTTCGTAAACAACACCCTCACGGCGAGAAGGCAGTGATTATATGCACATGGCCATGTGAGAGCATTTCGAGAGAGCTGACTTTCTCCACTACCAGCCGTATCAGTACATTTGAGGGCCGCTTAATTGATTTGATGATTCATTCATTTCACCATGTATATATATGTACATTTTATCTTGTTCACTCACTCGTTCATTTGACTCGCATGCTCAATCACTTACCCGCTTGCTTTTCAACACTACCCTTTCACGCTTAATTTTGGTGATCTGTGTATGATGCAATAATTAACCTAATCAACACTTCGTATTCGCTTTCTGATTAATACACAGGTTGGAGCGTTATCTATAAAGATGGTTATCAGGACGAAGTTTAAGGATTATATTGATTATTGACCATTACAATAGGATAGAACAAAAGTGGATTTTAAACATTCTTGATTTATGAAAAACACAAAAAGAAACTATATTTTAGATCGCTAACCTTTTATTAGAGATATAAGTATAACACGATGTAACATAGATCAAGAATTCATACACACACACACACACACACATATATAAAGCTGAATTGGCAATATCAAAACAAAAACAGAAAACATGACAACAGAATAAATACTTACTTCATAATATAGAATAATTGACACTTATATGAATATATCATTCATTTCTGATGATAGAATTGAGAAGTTATGAAATTCACAATCTCATCGTCGACAATGTTGATGCATTTTTCTTCTTCTTCTTCTTCTTCTTCTTCTTTAAACTTTCTCAACAGCATCAAAATAATCTAAATGTATACCTAACCATAAATTGGTATACTGTTTATCATGTATTAAACAATGTATTAATTTCGGTATAGAATTTATATTAGATGGATCTATTGGTATTTGTTTTTTAAGCCATTCAATACATACATGAGCTGATTTATTTGATTCAATAATTTGATGATTTAATTTCATATTATTAAATTGAATACGTGTATTTAGATGACCATGATTTTCTATGATTTCTGTTAACATATTTGTATTTAATGGTCCTGGAGAATAATTCAATATAGCTAATGATGGATTATCTAGAGATAAACATTTAAAATACATTTCTCTAGCTGATTTACCAATACAATAATCTGACATATATGGAAATGGTTGAATAGCTGTTAAACTAGATATATTCACTATAGTAATAGGTTGATGATTAGTAATAAAATATTCTATAAATAAATTTGTTAATAAGATAGGTGCAGTTAAATTAGTATGATAATATTTATCTAATATATCAATATTATAACATTCATATGATTTTGACTTGATATTACCTAATGTAGCTGCATTATGTACAAGCATATTCCATTGACATTTTATATTAGATTGAATAGGATATAATGAATTTAATTGAAATAATGGTTTTAAATCATTTAATAAATTATCTTTATTAGCATTGGACATATCAAGTGATGATGTTGATACTAGTATAGTTAATTTCATTTTAGAATTAGTTGATAATGAAGCATACATCTGTGCAAGAATTTAAGAGAGAGAAAAAAAAGAAAGGGTAAAAGAAAGCATTGAATCATTTACATAAATTTAAATTAGTCAGTCGGCTACGACGTAAGACTAGGCATATATATGTATCGGTCCAAGTTGCCATACCTCGTTAGCACAACAAGCTGAATACCGGATTCAGTGTAGGTAATATATAAAAGAAAGATTGTATATAGGGGTATAGTACAAGAAGAAAGAAATAGTTGATAGAGAGAAATACATGAAGCGATTTTAATCGCATAGTTTAAAGGAAGACAGAATGTGTATACACCTACACCATTGTGATCGATTCTGGTTACGATAGTCTCGTGGACCCCAACCAAGTAGTTTGCACCTACTGATTCGTTTATTTATAAGACATTATGGTTGATAATAAGTAATATAAATAAGTAGCTAAGATGGTGGTTGAAGGTGGTCAACAGCAGATCCTGTACCCGGGTTTCGTGCTATTTGGCATTTGTCAGCAAGATGTACCTGTAATCTTGGGGGAAATGGTGCCCCTGATGGATTCGGTCCCATGTCACCCAGCCCCCAAATGCCCTGGTATGGCCGAGAGTGGGGAGAGTCGGCTCTCCCTCTCTAAATGTTTTCACATGGCCACGTACATACAACCACTGCCAGGGAAGTATTACTCACTGCCTTCTCGCGACATTACTGATTTTGAAGAAATCGAGAGGACGAAAAGCGAATGTCCGGCACTTTAACAGGGTTTATGGATATGGAGGATCCACCTATGGGAGTTGGAAAACTCTCATTCTAAACCAATCGTTCACATGAGCTCCATGATCCTGAAGGAACAATTGGAGTACGAACCAATCATTGGTCACCGGCTACCATAGGACAGAATCTTCTGACGTTGCCCCACTGTTATATGGATTGGACCTTTAGGTCGAAGGCTCGGGGTGCGGCCTCCTAAGAAACCACCTGCTTCGGTTTGGGCACCCGAGCAGTATCCCAGCCGTCGTACAAATCGAATGAGTTGTGTGGCGCATAACTATTTGATGTCTTCTTGTACCAATGTTTATGTATTTAAATAAAATAAATCACCCAGCTTCACAGTCAGAAATGTTACCACTGGGCTATCCGGGCCGCAACTGACCTCCTGTATGACTGAGATGTATTCACAATTGATTGATCATTGGGTAGTGATCAATTTCATGTGTGTCAGGTCCTTCTTAATGCAGATAAAACGCTATCGACCAAGTTGAAATGTAGCCATTAGTCTAGGTGACTCGACATTGCGTGCATTACGTATTGTTTTACCTTAGATCTTAAGTATTTTAACTATCTTATGAATTTTATCCGATGAACTCATTCTTTTACCTCGGTTAACTATATCTATGTCTAATCTTCTCCTCTACCACCGATATTGTTACTGCTTCCACTAATCTAACATCTTTACTTAGCTGTATTGATATGGTATGACAATTTGAACTGATGTACATATATATCAGTTTCTACGTTGCACATAACTAACCAACTGACTAAGTGTGACACTTGCACTCCTTTAGACGGTTAATCTAATAGTCACTGCATCCGTTCAAATATTTTGTTTCTACCAACCACCATCATCTATTATGTATGTCTTTTGAGTATTATATGTGAAAGACCTTGACAGCAGCATCGGCCATTTAGCTCGTACTAAAAACTACTTTGTCATAAAGCCTTCAGTGCAACAGAGTATCAGGATGAAGAATGCACGATCCACATAGTGGAATAACAATATTTCATATAAAAAATGGGAACAGAGGATAAAGTTATGGGATAAATGGCCAGGAATAGTAAGTTTTTGAAAGCTCCACTTTAATAACCAAAACAATTAACTAGAACGGAAAGTCCACAAATGATTAATGTATCCATGTAAAGAATTCTTAAATAAAGGCTTCTAGAATGTTAGCAAAGATTCATGGATGATGACTACAAGTTATGCAATGGCGCAGGTGCATCCACTCTTTGTGTTCTCCCAGATTCTAATCTTCTGACTTCTTCATGTCTCTTTCTTTTTTCTCTTCCCAAATTTATTTCACTGGATTATACTCCTTGAATAACATCTTCAAACCCTAACTACATCTAGCAGTACGGGATTTGAATCGACCACTGCATCTCTGTGCTAATGTGGTGTGGCAACTCGAACTGATGTACATACGTACGAAGTTCTGCGTTGTTACTGACTGACTACAAGTTAACAAGACATAGATACGGTAACAGGCATATAAACAGAACTACGTATTAACTTCGTAAAAAATACGAAACATAAAGAAAATAATTTCATTTGCACAATGGAACGTTTCAATCTTAATTAGCTTTTATCATGTTTTTATCTACAGTCAGCAACAACGTAGGACTTCGTACGTACGTACGTACATCAGTCCGAGTTGCCATACCACATTAGAACAGAGATGCAGTTGTCGATCCAAATCCTGTAGTGGTAGAGGTAGTAAAAGTATAAGCAGTCATCTAAAAGATTACAGTTTGAAGATGTTATTCAAGGGGTATAATCCAGAGAAATAAATTTGGAAGGAGAAGAATAAGGGATATGAAGAATTTTTTATCTACTCTCCTCTGTTATTGCTCAGCGTATCTTGAACAAAGTTTAAAGTTCAGTTGTCCGTTTTCATATAGTACACATAACTTATACAAAGAATATTATCTAAAGATATACACACAACAAAACAATATTATTAGTGATATTTTGTTATAAACCAATTAAAGTGTACATAACTATAAAACCTGGCCAACCAATTGATATAGATATAGTTTCATAATCAACCTCCCTCTTCAATTCGTATTAATCGTCCTACATCGACTTTCAACCATAAACTTCCTCTTTTCGCTTCCACCTCAAGTGTCACCATAGCCAACGATTCTAGTGCTCAAAACACTGTCACATATCTACTGAAACCTCGCTCCAAACTACACATTGGAGCCTTCAACGTACGCACCCTATGTCAAATCGGTCAACAAGCCTCCTTGGCTAAAACCCTAGAATCTCGTACCATCGATATGTGCTGTGTCTCTGAAAGACGCATACAGAATCCTAGTGTGGTCAACGTTTGGACCTCATCTCGCCAAAACGGAGAGCCAACGAGATACACCCTCCGTGTATCTGGCGACCCGATGGCTAGTTCTCGTGAATCGGCAGGTGTAGGCATTGCAATAAGTACGAGGGCAGAACAAGCACTATTAGGGTGGATCCTCGTTAACAGTCGTCTGTGTGCTGTTTGGCTGTCTGAAATACCTTATTTGCTTGAGATTTTTAGGTTCAATATACCTTCAAAATACTCTTTTCATCCATTCTTTTTCGAACTGTATTCTTTATATTTAATCGTTCTCTTTAACATATATCGATACTATTATCGTCTTTACTCGTTGCTTACTCATGATGTTAATTTTACCCTTCTGTACTGATAAGGTATGGTAATTTTGGGCAATGTAAATGTTTTCGACTAAATGGTTAAGATTTCTGCTTCAACTTAGATTAATTGTTTTCTTACGTTGTTTAACGTGAATCGGCATACATTTGTATCAGGTTCTACAATGATAATGGCTGATTGAGATGTGTGTGATAAAAGCAATAAATCTTGACTACATTTTGATATCAGTATACAACAGCTCTTTTGTCTTCTAACCTGAGGTACTACAAGAGACAAAACATATACGGAAGACTTATTCCGTAAAAACTAAATAAGATCAATTGACGTTTAGATTCATTTCATTGTATACAGATTATACTCAGTAAACACTGCTTATTGTTAAACTGCAACACAAAATTAATACAATTAGATATCATATTGAACAGAAGCCGCATGATAAAAAAAATTGCGTTAAATCAATACATGATCTTACACTTGCTTTCTTCAGATATTGTATATAAGGATTCAATATACCCAACGATGACTGACTTATTAATACAGCATGTTGATTCATAAGATATAGAAGAGTATTTACATACATTTTTTATCATTTTACACATCAAATGACATTCTTTTGTTAAGCCTGGATTGCTATGATCAACTAGCCAATTTCTAATCATATTGGTTACATCAGGGAAGAAACTTCTATAGATAAACTCACCTCAGACTCCGTTACACGAAGAGCATTAACATCACGAGCCATTAGTAAAACATTTAAGGAAGCAGCATGGTCTTCCCCAGATGACATTGACTTTACTAGCTCTACAGCGAACGCCCGACCAAATCCACGACTTGCACCTGTGATTACAACAAAACAGTCAGCATCACACCATGGACTTTTGAAAGATTTTAACTTGTCACATGTACAATCGTTCACAGAAGACATCTATAAATAGAAGATCATAAGTATTTAATACAATTGTATTAATCCTTTACATGAAACTTTAACGATTAGCATTACTAACTGTGCGCATATAATTTGCTTGACGGTTTACAGAACTCGACAATCACTGTTCATGATGAGCTTCTAATGCATGTAGTTTTTATCAGTGTTAGTAAATTCAAACTCAAAATGGATGGCTTAAACAGCTCGCTAGCAGAAAAAATACAAACTTAAATATCTACGAAAATCCGGGAAACAATATATGAATCTAAAACAAATCTAGGAAAAAAGCAGGCGAAGTTCAGTAATAATCTTTTGGTCTAGTGTGCTAAATTAACATAAATGTAGTCACACTACAAAAGTTCACCTAATCACACATTAGTGAGCTTAAGAACGATTGATAGGGTAATACCAGTCCTTTTTAGATCTATGCAGTGTATAAAAAGCCACCGATATTCACAAATACAACTTAAAATCTAATGATCACAAAAATCAATACATCTCCAGTAGTTAACACATTGGTTAGATCATAATGTAATTTTAGCAGTGAACACAATGTAAAATCTGGCATCAATAACTGAAGACAAACGTTTCCCAGTTCTATAACAAATAAATATCAGTTAAATGTTTATCACTTAGTTAGAACATTTTATTAAGTCAGGATTTTCGAATATACGTATCATGGGAAAAGGTGTGAAACCGGAATCGGGAGAGACTTAAACTTGTTGACAACCTGTAAACTATTGAAAACTTAAGATTTTAATTTACAAATACGTTCAAGAATGGTGGCTTAAAAGAGGTAATATGAACAATAACAATCATGAAAACTGAATTTCTGGGTATCGATGACTTGGAAGACAATACCTTTGAGACGTGCATGAATATAATAAGCGGTTTTTCAGAAATCCTAAGCGTTTTATATTAGAGCTGTCTGGAGAAAGAACCGATACCCCGCACAATATGTATCACAAAAATAAGATATAACAACCATACTTTAAGTCATAATCCTTTACTGGGTAGGTTATTTAAAATGCTTCCATGCAGCATATTCATGATGTTGTTGACATTCGACTTTCCATTATTAATGAGTGAATAGAGTTAGGTGTATTTCAGGTTTATAATACACAATTTTGTCTGATTGTTCTTCTCCCGTTTAAATATATTGAGCATAAACATCTTGACGATCATAAAGTATTTTATTGTAAGATTAGTCTGCTAACATATAACGGGCAATTGAAAAGGTTTGGGACGACTTGAAGATCACATTCAAAGGAATAATAAGTATATCCATTTCATGGTTACCACATCGGCTATTGCAGTCTTAGTGAAATAAAACGACAAACCACAAGAGCACCAAAATGTAAAAAACACTTCTAAAATCTACACCACACAACCAACAGTGTTGTTAAAGATGGAGTGCGTTGGTCAAGAACAGATATAAAAGTGCCGTCATTTGGTCGCGTAAACCAAAAGACGAGCATATGACTTTCCTTACAAAAAAAATAAATACAGCGGAATCAAACTCAAATAAAGCCAAGAAGTTTGACTTTCTTTAAAGTATTATGGTTACTGTACTAGTAATTCGTGGTTGACAAGACTTTTTGATGTAAGAAGGCTGTGGTAACTCATTATAGTGATCTATGCTCAGTAAAATAATAAAGGTTAGGTATCACAGGTGATGTGGCTTAAAATTTTGGGTGGTCATATTTATATTTTACCCCTACATGCATCTGAATATATTACATCATATGATCATTTGACAGTAGTAACCAATTATTTCTAAAGGAATTTGTTTGGTCCTCCGTTGTAAATGAAGACAATACTCTCTATCTTTTGTTTTGAATATCATTCGTGTCCTCATATTCTCAGAATAAGATTGGCAAACTACTTTCCTAAATACTTTCAGCGACTTATTGATGGTAACGCATCGTCAGCACTTACAAGTAAACATTATATAGTTATGAGATAACTGTCACTGGATTTTAAGGTGCAGTGATGTTCAGAGGTTTGAACCGTAGGGATGATTTGACCAGGTTAGTTAGGTAATAAAAACATTGCTTGGAAGCCAATTCGTACAAGATTGATCAAAAGTACATCAACAACCAAGCACCACTCCCAAAGTTTCACTTAGAACTTTAGGACGACAGCGCACTGAAACCCAACTGCTCACCAATGGTCTCACCATATGGCCGACTACAGAGCCTCTAAATTCATGCAAAAGAATACTAACGGTTCACTTAATTTCTGCATGAAACTACATAAAATATTGTGCTTAATTAGCCAACGGTGACCATGATTATTTATGGCCAAAATGAGAAAAGTCATTTGCATTAAATGCAAAATCCGCGAATCTGAAGAGATCGAGTAATTTGGATCCATATCAAATGAATTCTCTCATTCCAACAGCCTTACAATTAAAATACTACTAGACTCAATTTATAATATATACTGCGTTGTAGTACAATGCAACTCCATGCATATATACACACTATAGTGTGTAGTATACGTGGAGTTGCTGAATAGGTCATATATGTATATAAATTCAGAAATGTTGCTGTTTATTTCTGTGTCAGTATTCTTTAGCGTCAGCACAACGTAAATACTTACTGAACGCAAAGTAATGGATGCACGGAAATATAAGAACTATTTAAAACTGCAGACTCCGGGCTGCAAAAACAAACAAAGTTAAAATTTCTACTAATTCCTTACTAATGTGATAAATTTTGAGTGAAAAGCTAGCTTCAAACTATTTGAGATTCTATACTAATTCTGTGATCCACATGGAAACATGACGTTTTAATTCTTACAATAACCCTTCCACTTGTAAACCACTGGCCCTATAAAATGTTTGTGGATGGAATAAGAGAAGCTTTTACCATGCAAGCTCCAGTTTTTACCATCAGCCGACTATTGAAGGCTTAACCACAGTCTCAGTGTAGCAGTTCGCGTTTAGATATAAAGTACTTTGTGTACTACGGGAGTGCTCACAATGGCGTTAGGAGGAACGAAAACTAGAGCGAAAATTGGTGGGTCGACTCAACAGGCTCACATAATTCAGTTGTATTTGTTAAGAAAAGCAATCGCAAAAGTCAGTTAAAACACAAGCCTGAAATCAGGATATTCTTCGAATTCAAACAAGAAATAAGTAGGTAAACCAGTTACGCTCTGTCGGACTCGAACTAGCCCTATTTAAAAAACACACCATGTGGATGAGAATAAAGCATTCAGTACCAAATATCTTTATTGTTAGCCCATATCGACAGACTAATTTGGGCACACACTTCCTGTGATTTCAACACAGTTCCAGGAATTTGGTAATGTCCATTACTAGGCAGGAGGTTGGCTGGCTGATTGTAATGTATAAAACGAAGAGAAAATCCGAATACTGGGAGAAGACGATTGTCTCAATCAATGAGTGATCAAGTGAGTTGATTGGTGTGTAATGCCAACCGTGAGAGCAGACGGAAGAGCAAGGATAAAAGGGGAAACTGAGATTGTAATAAGCGAGATAGAATGTAGCTACTGATATGTAATAACGATGACAGCAGGCAATCTACAAGACATGCATCAGGCACAATTGATACAAGCCGGAGATGGCACTTTATGGGTGAATACGTGTTTATCAAGCCTCTTCTTAAAGCTATCCACTAAGGGGGCTGTGGTCACTTCTGATGGGAGAGCATGTAGTGCCATTGGGCCCTAACCACACAACCGTCAAAGCTGAACACGAGACTACTCAGAAAATAGATATTCAATATTTAACGCAGAGAAAAACCCAACGACTGAGAAGGCGGGAACAGTTAATTAAAATGAATTCGAACTGATCGAATGGCATGGCTCGAACTTGCAGGCGTGGTCCCTGTTGAATGTATCTTATATCTTTTATTCATATTAAACATATTGTTCTATATCCAGCCTGAATGTGTTCCCCATCATGTATTGGTGACTGTTATGATGCGATGAGTTGGTGTGGACGGTGATGTGACTTTCACGTAAGATCTTATAGATTAAGCAGTAGTAGTAGGCGGTAGTACAACAACGTATGGACAACAAAGTTGAGCAGCTGATCTCTTTCTCTGAAGAATTAGAACTATCAGCTGTTTTGGCTATAAAGATTGTCTTCATTCACTCTAGGGTAGGGGTTTTAGAACACCTACAGATAAAAGACTTTTGACCTATCTCATTCATATAAACAGTGACTGTAACGCCACCGTCGAAACTTGAAAACTGTTGAGCATATCCCTGTTTTCGGCCAATTCCTTCTGGTAAAAGGTAAGCCAAACATCACTGTACTCTCAAGCTGCCAAATTTGGGGAAAATTTGGTCCATTTTGCAGAAATTTTGGGGAAGTCCCCAAAGCGAACTAATGTTATTGGGAATACAACTGACTACTGAATTTTAGTAAGTAGTATTAAACAATATACAAAAGAACAAATAAGTTACGGCTACGTCTAATAAAGCCTGCGAAGCCAGGTGAAAGGGAAACGGGGAAGATAAATGTGATATCACTTTGGGGAAGCTTTCCCAAACCTTTGGGTTTTCCTGGAAAACTGTCTTAACGCAAAAGCTTTACGAAAACCTATCGACATCACGGAAGACCTAGGGACAATGCTTACGTACATTTATTACTGGGATGTCTTACAACTTTTCGTTAATCGCGCATTGCCAAATAAACTTAATGTTAACCGATTTGTCGCTATTTTTATTGATTTTTTTATTTATGACGTATATAAATGCCTATTACAGTTAATAAATTTACAAATAATCCATGTATACAAAGTTTTTCATTCCGTTGTAGAACTGTCATTGACAATATTCTGAAAAATAAAAAAAATCGTTTTCAGTGTATAATAACGTGTTAAGATATGTGAAAGGTCGATGATGTACCAACAGTATAACAATGTTCTTAATAATGCGAACAAAGAACTTACAGTTACGTCTGATAAAACCTGCGAAGCCAGCTGAAAGGGAAACGGACAAGACAAAAGTTGTATCACTTTAAGTATTGATCACAAAGTAATAAACCTCAACAGTAATTAAGGTACAGTGATAATAGTGATAAATACAATGATAATTATCATCCGGCGAGGTTTGTGGAAATCCCCAAAGTGAACTTCAGTTATTGCGAATACAACTGATTACTGAATTTTAATAAATAGTCTAAAACAATACAGGAAAGAGTAGAAAGGGAACGAGTAAGAACAATGTAGAACAAACTGAAGGCCTGGCTTGCTGTAGCCATGGCGTGTATTATATCCTTTTCCTGGCAGCTTGCACCTCTGAAACGTGAACACAAAGCACCTACAAATATGTTAATACAGTCATGTGGACTTACTTCGAACCGTCGAGTAAAATTTGTATTTACTAATACCAATTTTACTTCTGGCTCCGTGCAAGGTGTAAGTGTTCGCCAGTTCTGGAGAAAGGAGGTATTTGAGACAGGCTTTTGCAGATTTCCGAGGATCATCATACATTACGTTGCCGTATCTTGCCACCTAAAATTTATCCAAACACCTTTTACAACTTACGAAATGATCTCGGTATTTTTGGTTTTCTAAAGCCGCCTCTAAAGAACGCATTTCCTCATGCGTTCTTAATGAGAAATGTATAGCATCACTATCCATTTCCTCTGTACGCCTGTCGATTACACCCATGGCTAAGCGTTCACACAAAAATAGGATTTTGTCTATTTCTGTAGACAGTTCACTGACCGATTTCAGGAGCGTTCTTAACATTTTGTTTGTATCATCGCACAAACTTTTGTTATAAGGAATACAGTAAATGCAACTTACGGTTTATCAACTTCCGTCGACGTACGTGGAAGTGGTGGTAATGATACATCAGCTTTTGATGAACTACTATATGAGTACTGATAAAGTAGGTACAAACCTCTCAATCAGAGAAAAGTTTCCTATCAAAATGTTGACAACTGGAAATTCCACCGGGGCAAATCCAGCCTCAAACTCAGCAACCTCTAGTTCTTCTGAGGTGCATAAATAATCAGTATTTTTTCGTTTGACAGTCCTAACACAAGTGATATAATAAGTTGAACAATTTACCTTTTCGGCTTGTCAGCATGACGAATTGAAAATTGATTACATTCTTGAACACTTTCTGATGGACTACGCCAAAGCACTAACCAACAGACACTAACTGCATGTAGTACTATATTTGCAACAGTCCTTGAGAAATGATGTCACATCTGCTACTCGAATGTATGCAAAAGAGGGATAATAACCTCATAGTGTTGTGTGCGCATACACATGCACTTACAAAGTATGTCGTCAGTGTTATCCACGTGCATTCGTGGCTTAAGGTAGAACACTTAAACATACCAATATTACTGGAGGGAAAAGGGTCGGTATGTAAATCGGAAGGATTATGGAATGGCCGGAACCTAATAAGGCCTCCATCAGCTATTTGTGTGACGAACCCTGGCCGACCATTGGCGTTAACTACATTGTCCGGTCTTGTAGTAGATAGCTTTGAGTTCCTGTAACTGACGATCTGCTTGTAAGAATCATCAGTTACCTCAGGCTCAGTGACATTGTCAGCCATATCCTGATTCAGTATACTTTGAAAGTAAACTTCTTCGGCATATCGCTGTGCGGCTTGTTTAGCCGCAGCAAATCCGCAGTGTACTGAACGCCTAATTTTCCTCATGTTTGATTCTAAAGGAAAAGCAGAGAACGACTCTAAACTTCCATGCTCTATAACGTCCTCTACAATGTGCTTTAAACTATGGACATTGTAGATTAATTGGTCGCTACCGTAACACTTTTCGTAACCTAATAAGTTGTTAATATGTACCCGAACACTGTTTGCTAATGTGGTGTGTAACTTAGGGTGCGATAATAAATATATTGACAAGGACAGTGACCGGAAGTTTCTGTACATTGACAGTGGTAACCTATTATGAAGAACTACAGGTCCTAAGTATAATAAGAACAACCGACATGCAGTGGCTTTCCACACAGAAACTTCATAAACTGTACGACATTTCCGTTGAAAGTCGCATGTAGTGTGTTGTCTACATAAGTCTAGTGCACCATTTATTGATGCGATAATAGATTGATCCACCCTATTAAGTCGCTTTATAGCTAGCTCATTCCATAATGAAATAGGTTTTTTAGAAACACCTAAGTATATCATATGCATCGGTTCCGATGGAAAACACTTTATCATATCCAATGGCAGATTTTCAAATGAACTTCTACCACGATGATGGATAGATTGGGACCTACTACGAAAAGTGACATCACTTCTAAAGTCGTGTTCACCATTGGTGAAAGTCATTCGACCACCCATTCGCTTCCCTAAAACCTGACATTTGTCACAGCCAGCGATACCATTGTGTCCCACAATGTACTTGACGTTGCTGCGAGCCGGAGCATCACAAATAACAGCAGCTAATTTAACTGTTAAATGTACGTGAAATTTATCAACATTAATACCTATCGTCAGCAACTCTTGTAACTCAGTTATAAGTGCTGCTGACATGTCGCTGAAATCAGATGGTTTTACTTCACCACCGTAGATCCCAAATATGAATACATGACTAACTAATGGACTTGTTATGCGACCTAGGATCGGCCACAGTTGTTGGTTAGAGCTTTTGAACAAACTTAGACCATCATAGTTTAATTGCAGCTTCAATTCTGTGAAACG